TTATACTTTATTAGTAAATTTTCGTTTTATACTTTACTGCCAGAATATAACTTTTACATATACTAACAGAGTAATTTTTTACTATCTATAACCTTGCATATAGATAATGTAAGTTAGTTTTGTTAATTTTAAGCACCTCATAAGTAAGGCTCCAGTCCTATAAAACACTGCCATTTTATTACTAGTTTTATCATTATAAATGTTGACATGTTCAATATTATAATTTTTTGGTTGAATATTATGTGCTTAGTTTGTGTGAAAACTTATGCAAAGGCTAAAATATTGACAAGAAATATAAAAAGCCTCCATATATAAAATTAGATTTTATAATAAACATATTGCACGAGTAGTGCCGACATTAAAAAAGTTAGATAAGATCAAGAATTTTGTCGATTGTTTAATGAAATGACTCAAAAATCCGTTCAAAAAAATCTTGATTTTATTAATATCTATCGCAGAGGTTTATAATACATCCATATCTTCGAAAGTGTTTCAGAACTCGACTTACAAAAAACATGCTAACATCTAAGATTTTGCAAATTTGAAATGATAAGCTTTCTAAATTTTTTCAATTATTCGCAAGCTAAGATTCTTTGAAAATATTATGTTTCTGTATTTGAGTGTCACTAAAAGGAAACCCAAAAATTTAAATATAAGTCATATTTAAATTTTCGGGTTTTCTTTTAGCGACATTCATTTGATCTGAGATATTCGTAACAGCACAATATTTATATTTGTTACCTAATCTTAGTTACATACGTGCGTAAGTACATACGTTTATAGAATCTATTATGCCGAAATCAGTCGAATTGGACGAAAAATCATTCAGCTAATTTTATTATGGGTTCCAGATTATGATAATAGTAGTAACAAGTCTATTGCAAAATTAACGGTTGGGCATTTTTTACTTAATGAATGCTATGATTTCATTAGTAAAATTTATTGTAACCTTTGGGCAACATTGACCCATCCGATCAGGATTCCAATGCCTTCCGACCCGGAAATTTGGCGATCTCCTTTTGAGTTTATTGTTCGTTATAGAAAACAAATAATTAGCCCTCTTGCCAAATAAGGACTACTTAATATAAACAAAGATAAAGTTGAATCATATTAAAGAAAATTTAGGTGGTATAACATATCATGATTAATCAAAATTATGTCTGACTGGCCACTAAATTATCAATTATCGTATAAAACTATATAAAAATATTTATATTTATCTACATTTGTGCAAATTTTGATTTTTAATATAAAAAATTTTTCTATATTTTGTTCCTATGATATTATTATTAGAAATAAAAAAAAGACCGAATTATAAATAATAGTTAATAAGGCTGTACATCTAATTTTATATTATTAAATACATATTATCATAATAGAATGGGCGTTTATAAACAAAATTTGTGTACTATCAAAAATCTGCATCTAATGGATTTGTAGATATAGTTTTGTTTTAGTTATAATGTGGTATACTCTAATGTCCTACGTAAAATATAAGCAAAAAAGGAATCATGATAAAGAAAGTTTAACATAAAGACCTAAATTGTTTGGAAAAATAATGAATTGTAGAAGTAAAATTAGGAAATGTAGTCCGCCATGGGGTCCTCTAAAACGAGGTTATAAAAAAAAAATAAAAAAAAATTAGAAAATGCGTTTATTTCACAAAGACATGCGAACGCAAGAAAAACCAATTGAATAATATTGCTATTGAGCATACAAAGCATTCATTATAACATAGTTTAATCTGACTCTATTTCACAGAAATTTGCTTGTCCGTCATAATTAAAAAAAACCTATATATTGCTTAATTTCTCTCTCTTTAAATAATAAATTTCACTTAAATCCTCATCAATAAATTAAATATATTCTCTCCTTTTTAAACTACTTATTACACTTAAACTTTTATTACCAAATTAATCATTCATTTTTGCCATGAAAATAGTTTTAATTCCTCTCTTTGTACACAGAACTGACACTTGTTGTGATTGTCAACCTGGCCATTCGTTCAGAGCAGACTGGTGCCTTGACCTTCACAGTTTTTTATTCCGCGAAGAGTTCGCTGCTAGACTTGAACAGATCAATAATCATGTCCAAAGTGTTGAACTAATGACTCAAAAAACAAAAAATTTATTTTATTATATCACTGGAATTTGTTACACTGTATTATCAGCTATCTTGCTTGTACTTAGGATTAATTATGGGATAACCATAAGTTCAACTGTAATTGGACTTCTATTCCTTTTCATCAGATATATGATCGAAAAAAATGCGGCAGAACGCGCAATAGCACTTACTAATCTCCTAAACGAACTTTTTGCAAAATATAACCAACATGAAAATCCAACCGTTAATTGGAAATTATGGTGGGTTCGTTCCTACGAAAGATACGTCACTAAATTGGATGGAAGAGCTTATGGAAATGGTCATAAAAACAAGAAGACATTGCATTATAAACGGTTTAGAATTAGTGTTAAATTCGCGGACTTATTTGCTGAAAATGCTTTAATAATTCTTGAAATCAATGATGCCCTCTCCGATCTTACCAAAAATACCGTTGGTGTGAATCTTAATTCTGAAAAAACTGGTAATAATAATGTCAACTATTCTAATGGAATGACAATTATTAATAATATCCCTGCTATGAATATCCCTAATAATACAGTTATAAATTATAATTAGTGTAAAATAATTGTTGATTTTATAAATTTTATTAGATAAATATATAGCTATGTAAATTTTAGCCTAATTAAATTTTATCAATTACTTCTTAAATTATATTCATTTTTTTTTATTTTTTTAGTATGTTTTCATATTAAAAATTTCATTAAGTGATGTGCTATGCACATTGCTATAATCCACACTAAGTAGCCAAAAAATCTTGCTATGATTGAGATTACCTTGATAAATGCTAGAAACTGACTATCAAACTTATCATTTTGTTATAAATAAATAAATAAAATAAAATACAGTAAAATAAATCTTTCAATATTTATGGAAGTTACATTTCCTGGCTTACAGAAATAGTTTATAAAAGAAAAATCAGAAATTATAAAATGATCTAATAATATTATTATTTAAAATAGATTTATTATGCAAGGAAAGAGAAATGACATGTTCGTTCCTGCATAATAAAAAGTCGTGTAATTTCTATTCATTATCATTTACGAGCTTAATTTATAACACCAATCAATTCATTTAAATTTAAATTTCAAATCAATTTTATAATTCATTTTTATGCTATATAAAAAATTTTAATAAGTGTAATAATTACTTCTTTATTAATATATGTTTTCTGGACTTATATTTTATTAAATTATAATCGACTTCAGTTTAATATACAGATCTATTTGTTACGGGTCAAATTGATTTCTAGGTCAAGTTAAACATGACCTGGGTCAAATTGATCCCTAGCAGAATTTTAGGGTTAGAGCTGGCCGGAATTATGTTGATGCCGGCCGGGTTTTTTAATTGATCAATTTGTCACGGGTCAATTTTAACGTGACCTAAAAACAAATTTGACTCGTAACATATTCATCTATTTTTTTTCTATTAAATATGAGAATATAAATATTTTTAAGTATACTATAAATTGCATTTTAAGAACTATATTTATCTAATTTGCTACACGTATAGTTACTGTATTAAAACAATAATTTTAGAATATAATTTAAATTTAGGGGAATTAACAAACAAAATTCAACCGACTGAAAGATTTTT